AACCGACGCGTCCATATCGGTGCACATCAACAACATCTGTGAGCGGAACTACGTGCAGGTGGGCTGTGCGAAGAAGTCGGAGTGCGAGCCCAGACGCACATAGTGATCAACATTAAACTGTAGAGTATTGAACATAATACCCAAACTCTGGGTACTTCAAGCAGCTTTTAACAAAATATTGTATGATGGCGCCAGTTGAGATTGGAACCGCTCCGATGGTGAAACAGGAAATTCTAAACAAACAAGTAGTTTCTGAAATAAGCATGGAACGTGTTTGTTCCATTGCGTATCCCAACGACTGCAGTACTCCGTGAACACATTGTTCTCCAAGTCGCGGCATGTACGTATCCCTGTGACTCGGATAGCCACCTGTTCGCGTATAGGTGCACAGAGCACTGCTTAGAAGAATCTCTGCACTCTTGTTGACACTCGCGTTTGGGTCTCCATCACCGGTCTTGGGTGGTACGCCGCGTGTGTACTTCGTTGATGCAAACGACGGCGAATCTGCTGGGCGCATTGTATTGCACGAGGGTGTGCTGCGCTGCTGAATTTAGCAGAATTTCAAATTGGCACATGACAGCGCTGGAGACGAAGATATGCTGACGTTCTTCTGTTGGGGAACAATTGGAAGGTATTGACGCAGATAAACTGTTCACTTAACGGAAAAGTGATAATAAGAGGAGCAAAATGGTAGGGTTGGGCCCATTCTACGCTGCTACATGTTTGCGATTCGTTCTGTTTTGGCCCCTTTGGCTGTCTGTTGGCATGGCCGTGGAAGCGCCGTGAACAGACGGGAAGGGCGCATACTGGTGTGCCTGGGCAATACAGTTTCTAAGTTCGGAAAATTGCGCTGTGACCACATGCAGATCCAGGCTGGCCGCTCCGTGGTGCCCACGGAGCTGGGCATAACCCTCATCAAGGGCTACCAGCTCATCGACCCGGAGCTGTGCCGCGCCCAGGTGAGATATAACTTCAGGCTGCAACGAAATCAAACCGAGCGTATCGCCAATATCGATGACCGTATCGATTTTCCCAAACATTACCAGCGCCACCTGTCACGGTGCGCGACTGCCACAACGTCGACTACGCTATGAATTGGACGACTATCAGGTGCCTTTTGCGAATGTGCCGCTGCCCTTACATACCTAACCATTAGCAATGATAGCAACGTTGGTGTGTTTTCCCGGGACTTGTATGTTTGGGAAACACAAATCAGCCAGATTTAATGGATTGTTGATTGCCCGTCTCCCAGGTGCGCGCCCACGTAGAGGCGCAGATCAGCCTCATCGCCAAGGGGCAGGCGGACAAGCAAGCCGTGGTGGACCACAGCCTCCTCGAGTTCCAGCAGAAGTTCACCTACTTTGTGGACAAGATCGACAAGATGGACGCCCTATTCGAGGCCAGCTTCTCTCCGCTGTCCTCTTCAGGTGAGCGCAGTCTTTGGTTATCTGTACGGAAGTTACATAAGTTATATAATGCGGCAGTGGCAGCTGTACTTTATGTTTTGTATTTTGAACCGCATGTAGAATATGGAAAAGTTTCTGTTTAGGCAGTACTTCAGCAAGCATGCATTGGTGCGGCTTTCTGGCTGCGCACGCAAGAACATATTTGGCTGCAGCTCCTCATCACAGATGCCGGTACGAAAGTTACATGCGCAACACCCTCACTCCAAACCTCACCCCCCACCCCGCCCCCACCCCCGGCCCCATCCGCTCGTGCTTTGCAGATGCTTGGGCGTCCTCATTCCGAATTGGCAATCTTGAGCGTAGGGATCACACCAGACGGATGCTGGTCATGAGCACATGCATCATCGATTGTTTGCTATATGGGATTCATGTCGCAATGTAATATTGCTGTGCAACATCAGCCATCTTTTGGGAAGAGTGCAAAAAGGCTCAGTGTACTTAGTCAGGTATACATTACTGTACATATTTGTACCAGTTTATCTTATATCCTTACTGCTGCCATCACTAATTAATTCCTATTCTATTTCCAATTTTGTTAGGCGGAATTGAATGTGATGATGACATGCAAGAATCTGTGTCCAGGGAAGCCGTTCGGCAAGTGCGGCATCTGCCACAGATACACGAAGTACATTCCGACGCGGCCGGCGCGGATATACTGTCCGACGTGCGAGGACGTCTATCCTGTACCGCAGGGCGGTACAGTCAAGCAGTATGGCGGCCTCACCTGCCCGCTGGACGGCTTTGAGCTGGCGCTGTTTTCCCTAGGAGGAAAGGATGGCAAGACTTACCCGTTCTGTCCCTACTGCTTCAGCCACCCGCCATTCGAAGATGCCAAAAAGGTGCGGCGACAGATACTCGTGTTGAAACACACCCGTCCATGAAGCAACATCACGATGTAGAACGCCACATCCAGCGCAAGATGCTGGCGCTCAGCTCTCCGGCTTGCTGCAGAAGACTAGTGTCAATGAGTTGTTCAATGTAGTCCCACGGCATCTGTGGACAGGCAAAAACCTCTGTGTGCTCCCACAATTCGGATTCGCGCTTTCAGGCGGGCTAAATGACCTAATGAACAGTGCCAAGTTGCTGCACACCTCTCACCACTTATGTGGGCTTTGTGACAACGAAAGCACGTCGGTCCTACCATGGCAGATCCGCCGTTCCCCCCAACTCTCTTGCGAGACCGCTTCCGACCTCTCAAAGCCGTCCGCTTTGACAAAGCACTAAATCTGACAAGACGGCCCCAACTCCGTGCACAACAAGCTCGCCTGCCTACCCAGTACTTTGGACAAAATCCACTCCGGGCTGTTCCAATGTACTGCTCTGTGCCGCCTGGCAGGTTGGAGCCGGCAGCGGCAAGTCCGGCATGCCCTGCACCACCTGCCTGCACCCCACCTGCCCCAACAGCGTCATCAGCCTGGGGGTGAGCTCCTGCCCTGACTGCGACGACGGCACGCTTGTGCTGGACCCCGTCAGCGCCCCCTCCTGGCGTCTGGACTGCAGCTGCTGCAGCTTCCTCATCTACCTGCCGGAAAACCTGCACTCTGCGAAACTGTCTCAGGGCGCATGTCAGGTGAGAAACGAATGCACAGCGATATTGGCTGCTGTTTGGGTCGTGAAAGTGTGAATGCGTGGAGAAGTCCCATTGTTGTTGAGCATGTCTCAACGAAATGCTCCACATACACTCAGCCGCGCTGAGCATACCTTCAGAGGTTGCCAGCCCTGCAGAGGGAGTGTCTGTGGAGCGTTTATGCATGGCCTTTCGCTGTGAAGGGCCGCACGAATGCCGTGTTGGATTGAAGCGGTGCCGAACGTGCTGCCTGCGGCGTCGGCTGGAGATGGACACCGCATGCTGTGGTCGGTGGCTGTGACTGGCAATGATAATGGCGATGATGGCAACATTAATGTGGCAAAGGCATGGTAAATGCTTTCAAGGTTGAACTTGCCAGCACTGTCTCAACGCAAAGTCTGCGCGCAAATAGTGCGGAAACCAGTGGCAATGCAGTATTGGGGGGCGACAAGCATTTGGTGCAATCGAAATGCGATTACGAAAGTGATATTTTTGCCTGAGTTGGGATGCAATTTTGGGTACCACCCCGAAAAATATGACAATTTTACTATTCACATATTTGTTGACCTCGTGCATGTGCTTGTTCACCATTCAGGATAGGCGCGTGTGCATCAGCCAGTCGCGCCTTTGTAGCAGAGTTGTTTGGTGTCTTGCCCTGGGGCCTCCAATTCCGTCATTTTCTCGGCGGGTTGTTCGTTCTCGGTCACCTTGCTGTCTTTGGGATCACGTAGGCTTATGTGGGAGTAGACGTGGGCAAAACCACTGGACCAATCCTACCGAAACCATCCCTGTCATGGACTCACAGGGACGGTGGCCCTGTCACCCGTTGGCGACTGTAACAAGCCAGGCTGTCGTGCAACACAGGACTGCGAATCCACCCTCCTGGAACTGGACTGGAAGAAGAGTGCCACGCCGCTGGCGAACGCGGCCACAAAGTACACGGCGTGTGTCGTGTGCGACGACTTCTTGCGCGGCCTGTGCCAGATGAAGCACGGCCACACCTTCTTCGCACGGGGGGGAGGCAGGCGGGGTCGAGGGAGGGGCCGGGGAAGGAGGGGAAGGGGGCGGGGCAGGGGCGGCGGAAGGGGGAAGAATTTCGACCCGAAGATGAGCTTTAGCGACTTTTGAGCTTGCAGAAGAAGACCTTGTTTGGAATCCCGTTGAGGGACGTCCGCTGGGCGGCCGGTTGGGCTGGTTTTGGACGAGGGACGGTTCAATAATGTTGATTTGTCCAAAGTGGGCGAACAGAGACCATTCGCCCGTCTCGAAGGCCGTGCAGGGTTGGGAGGCGGCTGCATTGGCCGGTGGTGTCGAGTGCGGGCGTTGTTGCCCGCCTGCCCGGGATGGGCGTGCCGTCCAATTCATCGCTGTGGCACACCGTGATGATGCGCGTGGACCCATGTATGCACGAATCGACTTACCCGACCAGCAGCCCTATCTATCCAACCCCGCCAGTCCCATTCAATCATGATCGGTGGGGAAGGTCCGGCCATCGACAGTCCGCATAACCGCGCCCTAGCATTGCGCTCTGACAGCCCATTGCCATCGAAATCGCCCACAAACCCAAAGAATGCTCACGGGAAGGCGGCAAGCCTCAAAGCCACGAATAGGCACATCTTGCCCCAGCTCGGGGCAAATGCAACCATCAAAGAACGCGCCAAGCAAGCATCTGGCTCACGTGCTGCCTGACATGTCGCCGTCACTGCCCATTCATCCTCCTCCCGCTCGTGACGCACTTACCAGCTAATGTACCACACAGCCGGTTGTGCAGGGCGTGAAATTAGTCCCTCTGTCTCTTGTGATCGTCGACTCCTGTTTCGACACCCTACACCCCAAACCGCAGGCCCGCTGGCCCACGTTGGCCTTGTCAGCAGAAGATGGGATCCTCAAGAAACAGCAGTGGGAACTAACATATTCTCGCTGTGCAGCAGCGCGAGCAGTCGTGCTTGCGCCCAGTACTTTGCTTCCTAATTCTCCGGCGCCCTCTGGGCCTTGTACACCAGCAGGATGGCCATGTGCCAGTCGCCGCCGCCGTTCAACTTGGTGATGTCCTCCTCCTTGCGCATGGTGAGCGTGTCGTCGTCGAACTCCACCCACTGGCCATCGTGCTTTTTCACCCACGTCTCGTAGTGGCCTGAGTCCGCGCTGCGGCCCTTGTGGGTCACCACGGCCTGGAGCTCGTACGTGCCTGCCAGAGGCGCCACAGTTGTAACGACCACACCAACACCGGCCAAATTTGTCAGGCATGACGAAGCACACCCCACTTGATGTTCAGCTGTTGTTCCAGTGTACACCCTCAGTACTGGGCACTAATTTTGCCCATGACGTCGTGGCAGTTTTGGGTGGAATATCACGCAAAGTGTGTGCACCCACTGCGCGAAGCTCAGCAGCGTCACACCCACTGGGCGGTGCGGGACTCGTGGGCAACGAAATGCAGCACTTTGAGAAACGGCAGCCCAACTGAGCAATCTCAACACAATCTGATGCAAACTGGTTGCTGGGATTGATTCTCTGGGCTTGCACATGCAATTGTGTGTTCGCATCGCCCAATGGGGTTTCAATCATTGCTTTGCAGAGTGCAATGATTCTCAGGGCCACAAAGAAAACTCCGAAAAATCACAAAGTCGCAAAAAAATGCACATGAGAATCTTCAATCTGTTCAACACGTTGGCGGCCCGTGGGTGCACCCCAGCGGCACCATCGCCCAATTACAAGAACGTTAAGAGCAGTTCCATTACGAGGCACAGGGTGCACTAAAGCTTGCAGGGTTTACATGGTCATCACTACAGCCGTTCCCCCGGCAGCAGAATCGCCCACCTGTCATTCCATTGGCGTTTTGCTCTGTTGCTCTGACAGCATGATTGGACGAGGGTGCCGAGGGGCCAGCGGCCTCCGCCATGGGTGTGTCCGTATCGCCACCTTCTGGTGCATCCTGGAGCATACACAACACGCAGGGGGCAGTTAGTCTGGGGCAAGGTGGCAGCAAGCACAATTCTGTTGATCATTTTGGGCTCCTCCCTACAGAAGCCACACAGCCTAGCAAAGATGACTGAAGTTAGATCCCAGCAATTGGTTCCATGCGATGTAAGAATGTGTACGGAAGACATCCCTGGCAGCACCTAGCCAACTCCAGCATCGGGAGAATAAAGCAGGATGAATTACAATCGACCTTGTATGAAGGTGACTAGGATGCCGAAAACAGTACAAAGTTCTGCTGCCAGAAAAGGCACACCTTCCTGGCGGACTCTTCACTCACCACAGCCTCCCTTTTGGTTTCCTCCACTTTAGCCTCTTCCATTTTGGCATCAGAAGTTGATGCATCACCTGGCTCCTTTTTTGGTTCCCCTGGGGCTCCCCCAGCTGCTTTGTTGCGCTCCTCTTGCACCCTTGCACGTGGCCCTTTCAGTTGCTCCTGAAGAGCCTCTGTGCAGAAGTTGAAGAGATCCAAATTGAGAGGGTAGGACACCTGCAACACAACAAGATATTGGATCACTTGATGCCATGCAGCAAACACCATGGAACATGAACACAGGGTATGTTTGTCCGTCGTGGCCTTTTCAGGTGCAAGAGCCTTGTTTTGTCAAGTGCATTGACAAAATGTAGCTGACAGATTTCACACACGCAAGGCCTGTCACTCGCTTGCACAGTGGAACTTGCTCTTGTGGCGGCGCTGACGGCATCTTAGCTTTGTGGGAGCGCATCGTTTTTCACTGCAACGTCTGGTGAGCCTTCTGTGCAGGCGCTGCTGGCCCGCTTAAGGGACAAGCGCCAAGACGTGGGAAACATCGAAGACTTACTGGCATGAGACAGAGACACAGTCCCATGAATTTTTGCCTTACAAGCAATCTACCGAATAGCAAGTTCATGTTGTGCATGCAAACACAACAACTGCAGTGCTGAATGACAACGTGCTGCACACAAAAAGAAAGATGACACATTAGGAATCAAAATTACACCAAGCTGGAAACTATACATAGACTGTACACCAATCTATTCCACACTGTGCAACTGAGTGGTGTGTAGAATGTGGCAGTTGCAAATTGAATGTACATTGAATAACTATGCAATGAAGGTATGATACTTACTATACATTACGTTTTATCCATTTTTGGGATCTTTCTGCCCCTGCCATCGCCTGCCAGTTTCAGGCCAAGCATGCTGTACTTACGCTGACAATAGTCACCCATAGAATACAACAGAAAAAATGACACATACAACCCCCTTTTCCTGCATTTCCAGCACATTTTCCACGCATATCCACAGCCCTTCTTGAGTCATTCACAGCCAGTTTTTCGCAAACTCTCTTTTGTAGGGTGTTTTCAGCTTGTTTTCTCTTTTTACAACTTCTTGTTAGTTTTAGGCCTTCCTGTTTGGGCTGCACGTTCACCACGGTCTCCAAGTTTCTCAAGATTACGAGTTAGCACGGATAGAGAAAATTAGCTGCACTTGCAAACAACTAGCCCATTTATCAGGCACCTGCGCACAGTTTGCTCAACATCGGTCATTTGCAAACGGTCAAACAGGGGCACTTTCTTCTCCATGCCTCACCTTCAGCCGCTCACCTTCTTCAGAATTTTGGCCTTTACGTTGGCACCTGTTTTGTAGAAGAACCTCACGACCTGGACCATTGCATAGGGTGGCAGCTCCGCCAACTGGAAGGAACCCTGGAAACCCAAAGTCACTCTGGTTATTGGCTCGCAGAAGATCAACAAAAGGGTGGCATTCACCAGCGCAATGATATGGGTACTACCCTGTCTTGCAGCAAAACTGGACTGGTTGTTACACCGAAACAGACAAAGACAAGTCATGCCATGGGCATCATATTCATAAGCTGGAAAAGGTGGGATGCTTTCCATACTGCAAAAGTTGAGTCAGAGCCTATGATGGCATGTGATCAACAACGCACTGTACGTTGCTCGTGGCAATAACCAAGCATCAAATGGTTGCCACAGGATGGGAGTTGTGAGAGCAAATCTCTGTTCAGTGCAGGGCTGCTTGAGACTTTTCACCTATTACGGCTGAGCAGAATCCAATGATGGAATGACGGTGACCAAGACAATGACAAAGGCAGTGGGGCCTTCTATTAATATTCAGGAAGAATCCAAAGCAGCAACAATCATGAAAGTGAATACACTGTGGAATGCATGAGGGCAATCTGTAGCTTGGAATGTTCTTGCCACAGATGCACACTCAGTTTCCCACTGTTCTCCAGTCAGAGGGCAAGAAAGAAGCCAAGGAATTGAGAATATTGACTTGTAGATGGAAGATGCTGCTGCATGCAACACACCTGAAATAGCACGTTCCTTCCCAGCTTCTCTGACATCTGTTCCCTGTCTGCCTTCATGGCCTGCTCCAAGCCTTCATGCAGGTGGTTGACAGGAGGGTCCACAGGGATGTTGCACTTCAGAATGATCTCCATGTCCCTATTTGGTACCTAGTAGATGCAATGCCAGAGTATTGTGGAAAGGGCCAATAAAGAAACTCACAATGGGAATTCCTCTCAATGAAACCTACTGAGACTCATTGTATTCTAGAATGTGAGATGCAGGAATCTCCAAGCGCATCAGGACGACAATGCGACAATGAACGGAGTCAGAACCATATTAGGAGGACAAGAACCTGATCGATGGGAACAAAATTGGAGATCCAGACTGTGGCTGTAATCGCCCTGTAGGTGCTTGGTATCACATCTCAATGTCTCAATTCTGTACTTATAGGACTGGCATACACACTCACAATAAGTTCCTGAAACAGGTGTCTGTAGAGGGGACAATGGCTGGCTGATTATTGACGCGGAGAAATGGACTGATTCATACATTTGGACACAACAAAACGCAAGCTAGCAATGCCTCAAACAGTACCACGGCAGCAGCCACTGATGTGCAATGAAACAACAAAACAACAGACCAAAATACTCACCACAATTTCTTCTTCTGACTCAGCGCACTTGAGCTTGGTAACAAGACGAAATCCAAAGAGAGTGTCAATCAGGTCGCTCCTGTTGACACCTTCACCAACCTGTGGCATCAAATAGGCCAAGTGGTCAGCCTAGTTTTTGCAGACCACCAGGCTGCTCCGCAGCCATCACAATGCGAGTTGTACACATTTTTCCAAACTGGGCATGCCAGATAGCTGTGTATCCTGCCTGGCTGAACCACAAGACCGATGCATGACCTGCGTTCACAACGTATCACCCGGAATGCCAACTCAGGGGCCCTGATATGCACATTTGGGCGCTCATCTTCCCAAGATCGCAGCTCCACCCACAATCCATGAGATCGCTGGGGTGTTTTGCTCAAGAAACAGTGGCGTACCCTTCTGCGACCTGCTTTGGCCCAAAGAATACCCCACTGCTTGCACTTCCTCCAGTTTCTGGAGGGTTCCACAACATCAATGTGGATACAGATCAGGAAGAAAAATCTTGCTGAGCAAGGGGCGCTGGTTTTACGACGTTTCCATTGTGGTGAAGAGAAATTGACTAATACTCCTCCTTCTACATTCAAGCCCCAGAACAAAGACTCTCATGGCTTGTTCCTTCCTTTCTTTTACTCTGGTTTGGGGTGGGGTGGGTGGGGGGTAGGGTGGCTGCCACTGCATGACATGTTCCCCATTCAATTGCAGAGACGGTATCCTTCGCCGGTTTGCCCCCCTCCCGCACTTCCGCCTGAGGCGAGGCCAGCAAGCGCAGTCCTCCAACCGTCCAGCACCCCAGCAAATCCCCCCCCGACGCTCGCCCCACCTTCAGCACGCCCCTGAACGTCTGCATGACCTGCGACATGCACTCCTCCGCGTCCTGCTGCTTGTACGCCCCGCCCTCTCCCACCTCAGCGAACCGTGGGAACATGCTCCTCAGCGTCATCAGGAAGCGCATCGGCACCACCGGCGTGCTGCTGGCATCCAGCTCGCCAAACAGCTGCCCCGCGGCGAGCGCCAGCTGGCGGCCCGGATTGATCCCCCCCGCGCCGGGCGCTTCCCGGAAGGCCGTCAGCCCCGTGCGCAGCTCCGGCACCGAGTACAGGCACTGCAGCGTCGAGTTCATGTAGCACGTGTTGCCCATGTTGGTCAACCCCGCCCCGTATTGCCCCATGTTGTCCAGATCCTGCTGATCCTCCGGCAGGTCCTCGACGAAGACCACCTTCTCCTTCGGGGGCGCGATCCGGGCCCTGTCCGCGTCCACAGACCCCATCATGAGCACCGTCTGCCCGTCCTTGAGCTTCACGGGCCCCCAGCAGTCGTCCTTAACCATCTTCCCCTTCACCATCACCCTCTGGTTCTCCGGCGGCACATCCGTCAGGGTGTACAGCTGCGTCTTGAAGACCAGGGGCGGCTGGCTCAGGTCCACCTCCACGCCCTCCAGCTTCTCCCTACCCCATTTCACGTCCACGCGCATCTCTGATTTTGGATCGGGGGTCGAGATCTGGTGGGGTGCGTCCCCTGCGGTGTTTGGGATCCCTGTGCACGCGGTTCTCGGAGCTTTGTCCGGAGGGGCGACGCCTGCAGGCAAGGAACGAGGCGGGGCGACGTCGTCGTGGGGGTGGGGTGGGGGAGGGGGGGTGGGGGGGGATGGTGCCACCAACCGGTGCGCAGGTGGTTTGTGCGCTGTTTTTGGGGGCGACAGTACTTTGGGTCCTGCCGTCTGGCAGCACCGCTGGGTGGATGACTAATTGGTGGTGCTGCTCGCATCGCCCAATAATGCCCACCATTTCACTGGGGTGGCCCGTTAGGTCAATTGGTGGATCAATTAGGCCAATTAGGTTTCGTTGTTGGCGATTGCTCCGCAATCAGAACGATCGATTGGTTTTACCAGGGATGGCCTGAGCAGACGAAGATTATTGAAAGTGCACATGAATTGCTTTGATGCGACATTGTATTGTATTCACCTGACTGGGCTGACGGGACGCCCTAGGACAACATGAGCTTCCACGGAAAAACACCGTGCAGCTCAGAAACAAATGCCCTGTCAGAGAATCTTGTCTGTTCTATATGGACAGTCTAGTAGTCAGAAATGCAGTGTTTGAATGGCGGATTGTAGTTTTGAAGCCCCGGGCTTGCTTCTGCATACTTCTGCCTCACCATTCTATTCTGGGTGGTGATGGAGAGCCCGTCTTCTAGTAGCTCATTCCCCAAACTGGCTTCTGAGCGAAAGACGCCAGGAGCATGTTTCGCACTTGGCTAAGTCCTGAGTTGGCAGATGATTGAGCGGCTGTATGGGCGTTTGTGACAATGACGATACTGGGGATACAAAGGCAGACAGGTGGCTGTGAGGAGAAACCTGTCTGTGTTCCGCTCCGCTGTCCGCAGGTGTCTCTGTGTGGGACCCACATGGTGAGGTTACGTATAGACCCCGTTGGACCGGCGGTGAATGTGGTGTGCACGCCTCGTGCGGAAAATCCAAGGTGCCGGTTTGGGTCCTCGCTCAACCAGCTAACTTATCGCCTGCTGACTTGATGGCAGCACCATTGAAGGCCACAACGTTGATGTGTTGCAGCGCAAGGTTTCATGAGGTCGTACTCACTATCAATGCTGATTTCCAGAAGGACTGCAGTCGCCACTAACGGTGGCGCCATCGCCAGAGACAGATCTGCTTTATCAAAGGGCACGGTGGATATGTTTTGAAAAGGGTCCAAAAGGGCAGTCCGTGCGATGACACCTGCCAAAGCATGGCAAACACTGCTCCTGCGCGTAATTTGTGAGAATGGCACAAAAATGTGCACGATCAAAATTGGAAATTTTACTAAATTCAATATGGTTTGCACCACCAATGCACGAACTGCACAATTTTGACATCGAAATTTTGCCGCCTCAACATCGAAGCAACGTTTACCATTGAAGCATTGAACATAGAATATGCCATTCAACAGGGAAATGAGTTGTGGAAATGGCCAATTTTCCAAGTTTCCAACGAAAGCAGGCAGAAGTAGACACTGCGACGGGAAGGAAAACTGCCCCAGAAGTTGGGCGCAACATCACACCCAGTGATCATGTTTCATTGCTTTTGTGCAGCGCCCCTGAGAAGTACAAAAGCAGCAACAATTGGGCGCGCATTGCGACTTTCAAATCCAAATCTTGCATAAAATACCTGGTGGCAGGCACCACCACTTGCACATCCTGGTTGCACGCAACAGTGCTTCTGAGGCAAGCTACATTGCTCGGCGAGGTGCTATGCCGCACTGGATTTCCCTGAAGTTTTCCACCCAAATCACCAGGCTCGGGGAGTCGACCACGCAGCAACATCTGACCAACCGGGTGGCCAGCGTATAGAAAGAACTGGAGTAATACATTAAGAACTTCTTACATGTATGCATGTCTGTCATCGACTATAAGCCGCCAGGGCCATGCTTTGCATTGTCCAAGGCAATTGCAAAGGATTAAAGCAGTCCTGTGCCACCGCCAGCACGAATTTGGCACCATTTGCAGGATGTGTCCCCACGCATTACAGTGTGGCAAGGTCCGGTACCGGTGCCGCCCATGCTACTACAATTTCCGTCCGCCACGCCTCCCAGGCCCCTCCATCCCCGCCCCCAACCCCCGCTCCACACATCTCTGGCACGGAGCTTCGGCTCTCGGATACACCTCCAGGGAACTAGCTTAAGAGCACCGCAGATGCTATCCGCTGGAGTGCGGCGGCAGAGCGACACAGTGCTGGGCGCCCTCAGCGGTGGAGCCGTTGCCGCAGCAAACACCGCGTGATCGGCGCGTCATTCAAAGCAGGACGCGATTTAGATCAGCGGGCAAGAGAGCGGTTCGCTGGATGGCCCAGAAATGTGGTGTGTGCCATGTGAGGTTTGAATCGCACAACTTCCAGCCTCGGTCTCAACGAAGTGATCCACGAAGCTAACGGCACAAATCGTTCGAAGTGCCTTGCCGCGACATTCTTTAACCCTAATCTCCATCCAGTCGACGCTCAGAACGCCAGCATGCTACTTACGGCATTGCTGCTTTGCACACTCCCTAAGGACCTACCCACAAACTGCACTGGCATCCGCTTGCGAAGCAACATCCACAGTACTATCGACATGGATGGCAGACTTGGGTTCCAAAACCTAGCTATCAATAAACCTATGATGCAAAACGTTGTTTAGTTCAAGAGTTTGTGTGCGTCACGGCAGTTCCCCTGTTCACAGCCTGCCGGCTGCCACATCGACATCCAAACTCTGCGACACTCCTGGCACCGTCGCCATTGTGGCCCCTTCTTTGTCCAGCTGAACGATTTGGCAGTTGGCTGTCTCAAGGCTGCCGTCCTCCTTGAATGCAGCCTGCATGGCGACTGCGACTTCCTTTCCCACCTCCGGACCAGGCACAATGGCGACAGCTGTGGGGCCTGCGCCTCCTATGGTACAGCCATATGCTCCTGCGGCGCGAACAAACAATCAGTCAGCTAGCCAACATCCTGATGAGACAGCACTTGATGGTCCAACAGGATAGGGCCTCCCGTACAGTGAGACACAGAAAATCTCACAGGTGCTGTTGTGGTGCAGGCGAAAGCAAGCTCCGCGTTCAGTTGGAGATCCTATCTATGCTGCAGTGATGATTTTGATGCAAACATCTAGTTCAGTTTCGACTCTTTGGCTCCATGCACACACAGCTCGATGTCCACCAGTGGAAGGTGGCGTGGAAGATGACAAGACAAACATAACAGCTTGGCCCATATCTACCAGTGCACGGAATGCAAAATGTCACGCCTCTCCCATTCACTTCCACGTTCGCTTTCACACTTCCATCCAACCCCAAACTTTTTCTTGGAGGTGTGCAAGCAAGGTGTTGCTATAGGACGCAAACGTGATAGCAGAACTCATCGATCAATGAAAAAAAGCAGCCCACCTGCGTCCAAGGCTGCCCGTTTGACAGCAGGGAAGCCAGGTATTAGCGACCCTCGGACAGGCTCCACAATCTCGTCTGAGTTCAAGGACGACCCAAATAGCTTAGGATCGCCAGTGACAATGGCAGCAACCTGTAGCACCAATGGCAGGATTCGCAAGCTGCAGCGGTCTGGATGGTTCAGGGGTTGCCCCATTACAGCCCAGAAGGTAAGGGGGTATAGACGGCAACTCGTCAGCATGGAGATCAAAATCAACTTTGATAACAAACGTTGAAGTACAATGAAGGATAGCATTGGCACCAGTCATGTGATTGTACATGCTGTTCATAACCCGGAGTGCTTCTTGCTGCAGTGCTGTTCGTTTTTGCCACTACAGAAGTAAAACTGGTAGAGGTTGCAGAGTTGCAGAAGCAGCACGGATTCAATTCAGTGACAGTGACAAAGTTCTTGTGACACTTGTGATCTGTCTCTGCGGCTGCCAACCACATCCCAGCAATCTGGTTGCAATTCAATCTGCATCAGTGCCTGCAGGAAAGACATCTGGTGCAGAGTAAATGGGTTTGGAAATGAAGACAGGTGCGCGCCACAAACAATCGTTGCAGATCATGACTGCACAGCTGAACTCCACAATGAAATAATGCCAAACTGGTACTGGGTGCAATTTGTAGGATGTGTTGAGAACTCTGACAAGTTCTAAACAACAGTGACGTCTCTCATCATATATAGCACTTGTTTCCTGCAATTACCACCTGTCTGCACTACTAGAGCAGCTGCTTGACCGACAATCGGACATTTCATGTTTCACAATAGTTTGGGTTGCTGCCACTGTCTCCATTGCTGTCAAATTGTCCATACCAATGCTGCTCCCATGCTGCAGTTGTTAATGACTTTGGGCATGGGCACCAGCTTGGGCAGAGCGGCCCTCATTTTTGCTGTTGGTGCCTCAAACACTGGTGTCACTAGCACGAACCAAAGGTCGTTGGGGAAGTCCAGCCGATGCAGTTCCAAAGGTCTGTAGCTCCTGGGTGACAAACAACAAACCATATCTATCATAAGGCTAGGTGATCATTGCAATGATTTTGGCATATTCTGATAAACAAAACTGTGACAACGAACATTGGCATCTTGTCCACCTCTGTACTTACTCCTCAGGCATAGCGACAGGCTGCCATAGATGTCACCACAAGACCAATCCCTATTAGGCGTGCAGTGTGCCCTGTGTCAGTTCCTGCCAGCATCTTTTGACCTTCTCTTCTCATCAAACAGAGCATTCAACCAATGCACATATCTCCCACAAGCTTCCTGACCAAAACAAAATGTCATGTGTTCTGTAACATCACTGTAATCGGCACAGGATTACACACCTCACCAAAACAAAGCTGCCCAGCAATGCAGGTGCGACGTTGTCTGCGTGGTACCCGCTGACAACACTTTCTGCAGCCAGGCCGGCGATAACAAGCTCATGCTTTGAGAGGGGCGAACCAAACAAAAGGTTCACGGCCATCGCCCCAGCAGCTGCACTGGCGGCACTCGACCCCATCCCACTCCCCAGCGGCAAGCCCTGACAATTCACATGCACCCTGAGTCTCACCATGTTGGATGTGTCTGTACCCATTGTATGTTCCTTGTAGCATGTTGTTCTTCTGCAATTGCAGATTCATTTTTGCACCTCGATGTGGCAAAATGTTGAGGCCATGGGAGGCCAACATGCTCTTGTCAGCACACTGTGCTTTGGTGCGTGGTTCATTGAGCAGCACTGTGGGGCGTTCATCCCTTCTCTATTGTTTTTGCCCTCCTTTTGGTTTCCCTTTCCTGTGATCAGAGGGACAGAACCGCACCAGTTGAGGGGAGTTGCTTCCATCTTGTGGACAAGAACGGGTATACAGGCAAGAACAGAAACACAACTCTTTTCAGTATGGACACTTCTTGCAATCCGATGGATAATACCAACAAAACCAGACATATTGCTGTTTACTATTCTTTTGATTCCACAGTATGCACAGCACTTCATTTCTGTGCTTCTGAAGAAACACGCTTCGAGCTGTTTGATAAAATGAGGGTCTTCTCAGTGCATCACAGAAAAGATGCAAGCGCAGTGGTTTCCTATGTGAAAACAAATGCAATCTAAGCAGACATCAACCCTTTTCAGTAAATGTTCTGCTTGTGCAGTAGTCCATTATGCAACCAGCAATCAATTTGCCCCAAGTACAGTGCACATCAATCGGACAGTGACACGAGCCGTGGGCCCAAGTTTAAGAGATATGAAGCCAACAAGCGACTTTGGGATTATCCACCTGCACATGTCTGTCAATCGGCAAGCATTGGACAGAGTTCAGAAGTGAAGTTGTTTGCCTGTCGATCTGAATATTGAACAAGGGGTACACACTCCAGTGTCCTCCTCAAGAATGTAACTCTTCGCACACAGAAATATATTCCGCCTTTATCCTAGTTGTCCATTGCAACACACCTTCTTCAGGGACAAGGTAACACCGCAGGTGGTCCTCCCCATCAGTTCCAAAGCTTTGATTGCAGCAATTCCCGCACAGTTTTTATGTGCATTCAGGGATAGCCGGCCACCTTCCCCTTCTATTTTGTCGATTTGGACACTGCAGGGCTCAGCTGTGGATGGCCTGGCCACCACTGTGTCCCCTTCGCCCTGCAAAGCGCACTACTGGTCACCCATGAAAAAACGGTGTGCCGCTGTTCGTGCTGCTCTTTCTGATGTGGCCGCCTCCTACACCTGGAGATTTGTCGATGATCGTCATAGAAAATAATTTCAGAATTCTATTGCTGAGGAGGAAGTTCGCTTGCATGTGATATTTTCTGTCCTGTTCCAGTGTATGCTCCATGCTGAACAGTAACAACATTTGATGGAACAAGCCCTCCCCGCACCTTGCTTCATGGTGTTGTGTTTTTCCATGCAGCCAGAAACATCTAACATCTATTGAGGAAAGAGTTGTCGTACACAAGTTCAATCAATAGGGGACTCAATAACTCAAATATCTATCTATCAATCACATTATCTTCCCAATACAGTGCTGTTGTTCAGATGGGACCTGTCAAGTAATTGAAGTGAACCCGCGTACTTTCAAGGCCTGTTGAGAGCAACAGGCCTGGCCATGGGAATGGAATGGGCACCTGAACGTTGTGTGGAAACCTGCTGTATGTGAAGACACATTCCAGCCATAAGACTTTCAGTCAACAGGTTCGATGACGATGACGAGCGTTTTGATGCCATCCTGCCTGGTGAGGTGTCGCCGTTGTGGGTTTTGGGACAATTGCAACAAACGATGGTTTGTACACACCAAACAAGCAAGTGCTTGCAGTTCACAGGCTGTTGCGAACATCACAACAATAAATGTTTGGCACTGCAAAAAACGCGTCGATGAGGCACTGTGGCAAAGCAAGGTCGGATCCTAATCCGACGAACACGTGCCATGGAATTCATCATTTTCCTTCACGCCAGACACCTTTGTTGCGCTGTACGGACAACTGATGAGAGCGCTTCGGCTCGCAATCGGCCGTAAACGCATCCTCGTTCACGGCGAGGGAAAGCGCTGCAGCTCTGGCGTTCCGCAGGGCTGTGTCCAATGCATGATCTGCTTGAATGCATCATTGCATGGATAACTGCGCAGCTCAGGACGCCGCCTCTCGCACTCAGCCGTCCGAGCAGTCCGTCGCAGAGTCACCAGTCCGACGCACACACCCCGGCAATCAACCAAAACACTGACATCCACATCATCACAAAAGGCTGGGCTGACACTACGCTAGGAACACCTCATTCCAGCCTTTCCCCTGATTTGGAGCGCGTTCGAGTCCGCAGAAAGCCGCTCTCCCGCCAAGGTCCCACCTTGACTGCGCATCCCAGCCAATCGAAGCCCGGCCCCAGGTTGGCTATCGTTGCGGGCGCGAATGCGGCAATCTCGGCCGCCACGGGTTCGATCGCGGCGCGCTGGCCATGGCAGCGGCACCGGGCGGACCGCCCGGAGTGGGGGCGGCCGAAGGCGGGCGGTGCGCGGCGCGTTCCGGGAGCAACTACGGACCCCGCCGGTGCGGAAGGGGCTTCGACGAACATGGGAGTCCAGACAGAGCAGTGGGCCAGGGACGGACACTGGGCTGCACTTACACGGAGCTGGCACAGTCCCATGTTTTTTTGTGTTTTTTTCCCCAAGAAACAATGAATTGACAGATTTGGGCACAAGCGAGGGATAGATTCGTCAAGAGGAAATAGAAACCATGTCATGAAATAGGGCACGCCCCTTCTGCCCAAGATATGATGCTTATGCTCTTTGCGTGCTGTGACTGATTATCCAGAGTATCCGGTTGCATGAGGAGAACGCAGGAAAGGCTGCGTCCGATCGACAAGCAGAATTTCCGTGCCGAGGTTGCTGGCACAAAGATCAAATTGTGGAGCATGCAACACCTTTTGTCTGAAACCGCTCGTATTCATTCCACCTGCAAGTCATTGATTTTGTCATATACCGGAGACATAACCTGCTGTTCTCCGCGGTTGGCAGGCTGCCAGACGGAAGGGGCGCCGGTGACCAGGTGCAGGATGAGCATGAAGGCCAACCTTGGAAACAACAAACACCGCCGGCAACTGTCCCAACCGCCCCCACGCTCTCCCAGAGGCCCCCAAACTGAACTATTCAGTTTCGGAAACTTCCTAATAGGAAACTAACCGCAATAGCTGTTCCCGTCTGCAGCCGTGGTCCACGTGCGTCCCCCCGCCTCCCCGAATGTCACAAACGCCACGGCCGCTGTACTCCTGACCCCGCCGCCCGCACCCCCGCTGAAACCCCGGCGAGGGCGCCCGCCGCGTGCGGAGCACACCGCCCCGCCCGCTCGAGCAGGCGGCTTCGATCAGTGGCCATGGGAGGCGTATGTGAGTCTAAACCAGTCAATCCCAATCACCCTCGCCCTCCACCACCGCCGGTGGCAAGCCCCCTTTGACGACCCTATCGAACCCATCCGCCGCTGTGCCGTTTCGCAAACCGTGACTTGTGCCGGCATGGGCGCAATCCATCCCCCACCTACGCTGTTTCGGAGACCGCAGTATTGGGATTTCGCGGTCCCCCATTAACCGACGCGGGGTTGTGGGTTTTCCAGGTTGCTGCGGGCCGCGAGTGAAGGACGAGCCCAGGGAGCCGCTCCTGGGCGCGGACAAGGCGCCCAGCGCGCCCGCGACCGCCCCACCAGCCTCTCAGAAGGCCTACAAGCCGCCGGCGGCGATCCCCGTTGATGCCACGCCGCCCGGGGGCGGATGCGAGGACAAGGCGGGCGGCACTTCAGCCGACTCGCAAGGCAATGCCTCCGATCAAGCCGTCGTGCCTGAGGTCAAAGTACAGCCGGAGGTTAAAGTACAGGGCCCGGACTGTTCGGGATCGATCGCTGCGCCCGAAGCGAAGGAGCCGGAAGCGAATAAGGCAGAGGTGATAGGGCCAATGATGACGGCGCAGGAGGCGAAGGACCCTGAGGTCACGGCGAAAGATGTGACGGCGGCGCTGGTAGCGGCGGCGGAGGTGACGGCGGAGCAAGTGGCGCCGGCTGAGGTAACGGTCCCCGCGCCTGCTGGGCAGGAGCATCCGCAAGAGGCGGATCCTGCCTGCGAGAATGCGGCCAAAGTGGCCGAAGGGAAGCAGATTGTTGAGCCGACGATTGATGAGCCCGCTGGGAGCGACCAGGGGCCCACGTCCCAGGCGCAGAAGGCAGCCGCCGCGGCGGTCCAGGCTGTGGCGAGCGCGATAATGGGCGACGTAAAAGATTCATCCCAGGCTGGGGCACCCAATGGTGATGGGTTGGTCGACGTGGCGGCGGTGGAGGCGGG